CGCCCCCCCAGGCTCCAGCATCCCCCAGCTCCAGCATCCCCCAGCTCCATCATCGCCCAGGCTCCAGCACCCCCAGCTCCAGCATCCCCCAGACCCACTCACCATCCATGCGGAGGGCGGCCGTCAGCATCTCGATGCATTTGTCCCTCACCGAGTCCCCCGTGAGATAGCAGGGGGCCAGGAGGCAGGGGCTGGGGGAGAAGAGGGGGCTGGTGGGGGTCCGCGGCGTCTCTGGTTTGGCCTTGCCGCTGTTGGCTCTGCAGGGACACGCAGGAGGACAGGCAGGTGTCGGGGTCCCGGCGCAGCCCCAGGGGACCTCCAGTGGTCCCGCGGCGGTGGGATGTGTCCCTCCTACCTTTCCTCCTTGCTGTCGCTGGAGTTTCTCCGGGAGGCGGCGGGAGCTGGCGAGGGGCTGGTGCCCACAGATGTTCTCCTGGGGGTGGCACAGGAGAGGGGACAGTGAGGGTGACACCACAGATGGGGCAGGCGGGACAGGGGGCAGGGAATGGTGGCAGGACCTCAGGCACCAGCACATCGATGCGAGCGCTTGGAAGCCAACAAGATTCTTCCCAAAGGAGGATTTGCTCCTCATGGGGAATGTCCCAGTGCCCGTGGCAGGATGAGGGCTCCCAGCCACCTCTACCCCCCGGGATGTGGGTCCTGTGGTTAGAGCATCCCCAAAGGGGATCCCCAAAGCATCCCCAGGCTGCCCGGGGACACCCCCTCCTTACCGCTCCCCCGATGGTCTCTTCTGTGGGGAGGAAGAGGAGATGGACGAGGTGGTGGAGGACCTCGAGTCTGCAGAGTCTCTCCTGGCAGGACGAGCCCCGTGTCAGAGGATGGTGATAGGGACCAGGCGGTGGGTCCAGACCCCCATCCACAGCCCGGCAAGGGGCTGGGCTCTGACCTCTCCCACCCCCATCCACCCCAGGCACCCACCTCTCTTTCTTGCCATCCAGAGATGACTTCTTGGAGGACGTAGCGGGGCTCCGGCCGTTGCTGGACTCTCTTCACCACAGAAGCCCAAAGGAAGGGAGAGATGCTCTCAGGGAGCTTGGCCCCAGCATCCCCCACTGGGATCCAGGCAGACGGATCCTGCCTTGCCCGTCTGCACACCACAGCCCCGGCCAAGTCATCCCCGAGCCCCAGTAGCCCCCAGACCGCCGGCAAAGCCTCCCCCAGGCTGGCAGTGCCCGGCAGAGCCCGGCCCCAAGGTCGGGGTGCCCTTCGGCACGTACCTCTCCAGGTTGGAGTCGGTTGGAGCCCGGGGGGTGGTGGCACGAGAGCCGGATTTGCTGGGCTTCCTAGGGCCAAAGAGAGTGGGACGAGGTCAGCCAAGCACCGTCGAAACAGCCCTCGCCCAGGGAATAAATAGCATTAGAGAAGTGAAAATTAAAAAAAAACAAAAAACAAAGCCATTTCTCCCTCCCCTCTCCAAAACCTGCCCCAGCTCTGCCGCCAGCACCCGTGGACAGGCAGAACCGGATAAACCAAAGAATTCGTGAGGAGCGAGCGGAGGGTGGTCTCGCGTCAGCCCCGCCGATGCCTTGGCCGAGGTGGCTGGTGCCCCCCAAGAACGGGCAGGAGCCCCCACCTCTCCTTGTGCTTCTCCTTGTGCTTCTCGGCCGGGCTCTTGGGGTGCTTCGCCCCTTCGTTGGGGCAGCTGGGAAAATCCAGCCCCTTCTCCTTCTTCTCCTTCTCCCCATCCGCGTCCTTCTCCTTCTTCGGGGTGGTGGAGGGCTCTGGGGGAAGGATTTGGCTGTCACAGGCACGGTCCTAACCAGAACCTGGGGAACCGCATCCCAGGGTGGGGGGGATGCTCAGCCCTTAGCAGGGGGCTCACACTGATTTACACCGCTCCATCCTGGAGCAAAACCAAACCCTTGGCAAATGCATCAAGCCCACGCATCGCCCAGCAGGACTGGGTTACAGCGGCTGCGCAGCACAGAAACCTGCACGTGCCAGCACGGGACTGATCCCATCCCGACCCCCATCAGGTTTGGGGCGCTGGGAGGATTGGGGCTTGAGGGGGTGCGGG